CCAGTACTGTTAGGCAGACCTCTTCGGTCAGTCATTTATTGACTGGCTGCTTTGGGTCAGACCCTCCACTCCAATCAGCTGTGGCCAGAGCAGTCAAATCTCGTGTTGCTGCACATGGGAATGCTTTTCAACCCATCATCAATGGTCCATGGGTTCATGTAAAATTGACTTACTAGGAAGAATTCCTAGAAAACCTGGTAGGGGAATGGAAAGGTGGGGCCAGTGTGCAGCATCCAGCAAAGACCCATGGAGGGATTTTGGCTCACTCGCATGGGGAGCTCAGGAGAGGCATCAGAGTTGTCCAAATTGTGGGTGTGGGGAACGTCAGGCAAGAGAGCTAGAGTATCTCTACCTCTACACTCATCAGTCATCAGTCAAGAACTGCTGCTGGAGGAGTTCAAGTCCCAGGCAGTTCTGGGTCTCCATGTGCCCTTGACATGGGGTTGGGCAGTCTACCACGGGAGAGGCACAGGTATTGGCTGCTGGGAGTGAAAGCCCACCAGCATGAGAGGGCATGTGAGGAGAGCACTACATCATTGTGATTTGAGCTGGTCATACAGGCCACAGTGGATCCTTCCACAGCATTAGCCTCAATCCTTTGCCAAAAGACTAGATGCTCCCTGAGCTTGCCTCATTGCGTCAAAGCTTTTTTATACTGGTCTTTGATAGAGGAACATTCAGGACACCAATGGTGGTTCAGAGGGGGAAATACTGATAAAATTGTTCAAGGATGACCCATCGCTGATGGGACGGACTAGAGAGATCCTTGTGCTCCACGACATTCTCCTGAAATCTCGTTCATTCTTTGCCTAAGGATTTTCAAGTACTACGCTTCCTTCCCTCTTCCCTAAATCATCCTCCTCACCTTTTGTTTCTGTTGGAACAACATCATTCACAACTTCCAGGTGGGTGTTCATTGAACCTTTTCTTCCATTTTCTGTTCTAAGCACAGATAATTATGCATGTCAAGGTAACAGGCAGAGGTGAACATTGTAATTTGGCTTCAGGGGTATTACACATAATGTAGTTTTTGTTTCCTCTGCCTCACCACCTAAACAAAGAGCATTGTATCTCCTCCTTCATGGGGCTTGGAATATTCTGGAAGACATGTAAATAAGGTTTTTAATTTAAAAAATCACTTCTGAGCTGTGCTGGTAGCGTCCCTTCCCTTTTGAATAGCAGCATTATTTGTGACATCCGGTGGCAGGCAACTCAGCCTGTGAGTCATGCACCAGCGAGACATATGCTCCAACACCATTACGAAATGACAAGCAACCCCACCATCAAACAGAACCTTTATTTGCAGATTAAACAGGAAGCTTTCTCCAGAGGCTCCTAAATCAACACAGCTAATGGTTATTGGCGATTGGCATTTATGCTCAGAAGATGCTAGAGATCATTTACATGTGAATTCTTACCTTGTGGGGAGGGGAGAAAGCAGGTCAGAACAGACTGACATCTCCCTCGGCTGGAGAACAACATTCAGATGGAGCAAATGAGTAGGATTGCCTAATAGAACATGACAACTGACTTAGATAGACAATTCAAGTCGAGGGGCTGGCTTTGTGCTTCCTGAACACCTCCTCAATGGTTATCTGTATCAAGTAGGGTTGAGCTTGAGAACCGAAAGAGCTCCTGATTCTAGCTCTGGAATGCAGCTTGCAAGTCTCCCCCTCTATTACTCTGAAAGTGACCTCAAATAGAACCCTAGAACTATGAATAAGTCAAAAATTGGCTGCTGGTCCCTACAAACCTGCCAGGGAATGGGGGCAAGGGTAATTGAGCAGCCTGGGGCCGTGAATGGATTTTATGATAAATAAACATTCATTCACGAGAACATGTACTGAGCGCTCAGAAGCAGTGCACACATGGCTAATCCACCCTCAGGGGACAGGAATGGGAAATAAGAAGTGTACTCCTTCCCCTCGACACTGAAGATTAGCTTCTAGGGGGACAGTGAGGGGATCCCAGCTGGACAGCTGTGTTCAAGTGTCTTTACCACGCCTGGCTGTGTGCCTTGGATATACCATCTCTCGTTCAATGGCCAAAGTCCTGCCCTTAGGCATAAAGCCGAGGGTGCCTTTCTCTAGGAACCGGCTCTATAGAGAGCAGAGAATGTTTACACTGGAGTTTAAGGAATGCTATGATTTAGAAAGAAAAATTAGTCAGGGCACCTGGGAGGAGAAGTAAACACTATTTTAAAGCTAATTAAATATGTTTTATTTAGTACCTGCCAGATGCAATGTGTCAAAGGGAACATAAAGTTTAATAAAGCCCCGATTTTAGGGGTTTTGAGATCTCGGAGGGTAAAGAAGTTTGCAGGTGAGCTGGTAAAAGGCGGAACGTGGGGAGGGGGACTGAGGGACCCAAACACAGCCTCAAATACACAGTTCCAGAACATGGAGAAAGCAGTCCCCACTGTGGGGGGACGAAACAGTCGGGAGGAGGCAGCATCTGGGCAAGAGCATCTAATAGTGAGAACAAACGTTTCTTACATGCCCAGCGCCCTTAGGAGGACCTCACCCCTGTTAACTCATGAAATCTTCACAGAAACGCCAGAAAGAGCATGCTACTATTATTCCCAGTTCACAGATGGATAAAGTGAGGCACAGAGAGTCACAGCAAACACCCTGGAGTCCTGCCTGGAGATCACCTCCTTTAGGATGACTTCTGGCTCCTTTTCTTCTCTTCATTTCTCTTCCTGCTGTGGCACTTACTAATAGCAGGCCTGGGCTGCGCACCGCAAAGGAACTCAACAAGTACATGTCATATTCAAGTGTATACAAGACAGGAGGACACCATGGGGTCAGAAAGGGCCAAAGCTAGGGCCCCAGCATCAAGGAGTCTATACTCCAGCAATGAAGATGAATCTGGATGTAGCTTCAGCTCTAATTCACAGTGGGATGACCTGTGTACTGTGACGAGGGAAAAGACAGTTTAATGTTAAAGATAGGTTTGAAATGATGACCAGAGATTGTGCTTCTTTTTCCCTATCTTTAAATAAATAATAATGTTTTTTTCATGATCATGAAAGTAAAAGTTCATTGGAAAATATAGGGAAGATAAAGAAGAAAATTAAAATTATTCATTATCTCACCATCCAGAGAAAAGCATTATTATACGTTGAGGTATTTCATTCCAAAATCTTTTATCTGCAAATTAAGGTTTTTTAGAAAACATAACGTTAGAATTATACTGTTTATATTATTTTGTATCAAAGTTACATCATGAGCATTTTTCATTGTGGCTAAAAATTGTTTGACACGTAATTTTTAAAGGCTACATAACGTGCTCACGCATGGACATGCCGTAATTCACCCATTCATTTTACTGTTGTTTGATATTTATATTTTGTTGGGTTTTGCTATTAAAAACAATGTTGTAATATCTACTGTTGCATATTATTTTTTCTCAAATCTTGCATGGAGTCTGCCTTCTGTAAAAATGGTTAAATATTTGTAAGAACTTACAAAATTTCTAATTAAACCATGTTCATTCTTGTTATTTTTATGTTGCTGCTTTAGGAAAGCCAAGTTTTCTAGACCATGCATTCACAGCCCAGTCTCACAGCTACCACCTGTGCGTGGGAGAAGCTGCCTTCTCATCCCACACACCACCTTGTCAGGTCCATGAGCCGTGTGGCGGATGCTGGGCCATCCCTGTAGTACCATCTTCTCAGCACCATCTTGCCACATAATGGCCAAGTGGCCACTAGCTCCACTTATATCCCAACTATAAACAATCCAAGTAAAATGCTTCCCTTTACCTGCAGTCCCCACCAAAAGCCCTAGAAATGAGTTGTTGGTCCTTGGGTTGTGTATTGTGTGTGCGCTGTTTGACCAATTATGAAGGCCAAGGAGATGAAACAAGTTGGTCGGCCTGAACTGTGTCTTGACTTCTTTCTTCACTTTCTGGTTGTGTCCTGTGCACTATTTACAAATAGGCAGACACAACTCAAGGGTTTCTAGCTATGCCACCTTTATGTTAAGGAGCAGTAAAATGGGTCAGGCTGGAGCAGACTCAACCACCAGTCTTTTGGGATAACGCTACCAGCAGCTCATATTCAATATGCCCCAAACCAAATCTACCTTCCCCACCAAAGCACATGCTTCCTCCTGCGTCCCTGGAAGACAGTACAGTGTGTGGAAGACTCTGTGGCTTAGCTTACTCAGATTCTATTTACAACCCCCTCTCCTTCGCTTGCCTCTACAGTGGAATCTGTGAAAGCTAAAAACTCAATCTTCTAGCCTCTGTCACTGCTGGGAGTGGTCACACAGACACTTCTGGTCAGTGAGGTACAAGCAAGTAATGGCTGGAGCTGCCACAGCCATCTTGTGATAGTAAGGACCAGAGCAGCATACTAAGGAGGGAAGAGCATAGAGAGAGAAGGACACGGGGTTAATGATGATGTCTCAATATGCTGACCTAGTCTGGGCTGCCTACCTCTACACTTCCTGTCATCTAAGACAAATAGGCCTCTACTTTCTACTTATAGCCAAATACGATTCCTAACAGATGTACCATCTTCCCAGTCAAGTAGAGAACCTCAGCATTTCTTCATCATTTCCCACAGTGTTACTCCCCATTACTGATCGATCAAGCACTATTGATTTTACTTCTTTGGAGAAAAACCTAGAAGCAACAAGAAGCCGGATTTTAGGTGGAATATAAATGGTGAAAACTGTCTAGGTATGTCAGCTATGTGTGGTGATATTCTATGATAGGTCAAAAATGTACTTCTGGAAGGTTATAAAGCAACGAACTCAAATCTTAGAAGGGTAATTAGTTACATTAGGGTTGCTGGAAAATTTTAAGGTCCCTTCCATCTTGTAAATGCTAAAATAATTCCATTAAAATTACCAGGCATAGCTTCTAGACATGTAAAACAGAGCAAAATATTGTTCCTTGTAACCCCAACTGCCTTATAAAGGGAATGGATCCTCTTAGGGGAAGCTCTTTGCCCTGGACATGCTGTGCTTGTTTCGGAGCGGAACCTGAAGCAGCTGAGTGATGCTCCTAACCGAGGGGAAGCATTTGCAGAGAAGGGAGGGCGGGGGAAGAGAATCAGTGAAGCTGTGGGAAGGGGGGCTCCAAGAGGAGACTTAGGTGGCTGAGTGTCTGGAAATTACTTTGAAGAAAAGGGATTAAGATATGAAGGATTAAATTGGTTGTTGTGAGATCCATTAGGCAATGTCTCCCGAGCTCTTTAGTAACACCACACAGTATTTTGTATGAAGATAACTTTTAAACTGTAGCAGGGACTGAGTTACTCAGCTGCACAAGCACCAAAAGATTTTATGCAACAAAGCAGTGACCCCCAGACCAAGGAGGCCATCAGATTTTGAGCAGGCTCTGGAACTCACAGACACCTTGGGGTGGTCTTGGGTCTTCAACAGCCCATGGATTTGGGATTCAAGGCAGTTTTACATCAGTTTCAAGGGCCAGGAGGTCCCAGCTGATGTAATCTTCATATGATAAAAACATGACTGTTGTCTTGAATGACACTGGTCCCACAAAAGACATTATACGTGAGCAGAGAAGCTATGCTGCAGACCAGTAAATATTTTTATTTACTATCTTTCCTTCTTTATCAAATACTTTGTAGCCAAAACAAAGGGGTGAAAGATAACCAGATGGAAAATACTAGAGATCTGTATTGAGAGACTTGTAGGATAAATGCAGGAAGTATAACATTGGTCTGTTAGGAATTCCAGAAGGAAGCGTCAGAGAAAATGGAAAGAAAGAAATAATCAAAAAAATGTTAACAGACTATTTATCTGCACTGAAGAGAGGTATGCATCTTAAAACTGAAAAAAACTACTAAACACGATAATTTTAAAATCACATATAGACCTATATTGTAAATTTCTGAATTATAGAGATAAAGAGGAAAATTCTAAAAGCTCCCAAGGAAAAAATATCTACTAAAAAATGAGAATATAAAGGCTCTAAAGATCTATGCAAGACACAAATCTCCAATGCCACGAAGGAAATGGTTGATATATTTGACTTCACAAAGACTATAAATTCCTGCAGTTTGCCATTTACTTCAATCCGAAATGGAACGAAACAAAGCTATATATTCTTTGTGACATACATGCTTTTATGTACATGTACATAATTAAATAAAAAGTCTCGAAAACGATGCAAAGCAAACTTAACTGAGTGTACCTCTGAGGAAAGGAGGGGGATGGTATGAAAAGAATTTTCACTTTCTACTGTGTATTCTTCTCAATAGTTTTGAATTTCAATTAGAATGCATTACTGTCTTATACTTGGAGTGTTTTTAAATATGAAAAACACATCATAAAAATAGACTTTTATTTGCAAAGTAACAGATAATGAGCTGCCTACTTTATATTTTTCAAAAATCATTCATTTATTCCACACATATTAATTGGGCATCTGCTATGTGCCAGGCATTATTTCAGGCACTGAGAATACAGCCCCGAACAAAACAGACAAAACTTCCTGCCCTCATGGTATTTTGCACTCTAATGAGTAGAGATAGACAATACAAATAATAATAACAACAATAACTCATTAAGAGGTAGGCACTACTAGTATCTCCATTTTACAGATGAGGAAATTGAGGCACAGAAGGTCAAGCAATTTTCCCAAGGTCACCCAGCTATCACATGATGAAATCAAGCTGTGCAACCACCTGGTCTACTTCCAGGGTCCTTGCTGTGAACCGTTTTGCTCTGTGCTACAGTGTGTCCAATGAGCATGTCTCATAGAGAAAAACAAAGCAGAAGAGGTGCAAGAGTGTAGATGGTGGAGAGGAGGGGGCCAAGGAGCTGAATTTTACGTTGGATAGTAAGGGAAGTCCTTACTGAGAAGGTGGCATTGAAAAAGAGGGAGTGGGCCGTGTGAATACTGGGGAGGAGTGCTCCAGACAGAAGCAACAGCAGGAGCAAAGGCCCTGAGGGCAGCCGTGTCTGGCATGCTCCAAGAACAGGAGGAGGCCAGAGAGGCCAGGGTGCAGATGGCGAGGGGAAGGTGTAGGAGATGAAGTTGGGGAGTACTGGGGCCAGGTTGTGCAGGCACTTGAAGTCGTGGCGAGGACTTTGGATGTTGTCTGAGTGAGATGGGGGCAATCAGAGGGTTTTGAGCAGGGAAGGGATGTGATCCGCCATATTAAAACCGGATTACTCTGGCTGCTGGGTAGAGAATAGACAGTGGGCGGCAGGGGGCAGGGGCAGGGTGGAAGCTGGGAGATCACTCCAGGGGAGACATAAAGTGAGCTCAGACCCAGTGGGTCAGTGGAGGTCTTGAGAAACGATTGGATTCTGGATTTATTTTGTGGCACATGAAAGGAGTCAAAGCTGACTCCAAGGTTTGGGCATGAGCCAACGGAAGGATGAAGTTGCCGTTTACTGAGACAGGGAAGGCTGCAGGAAGGGAACTTTGGGGGCGGGGGAGATCAGGAGTTTGGTTTGGACATGTTCACTTTGAGATGACTATTCTACGTCCAAGCAGGGGTGTGGAGCCAGCATTTGGATATAGAGTCACATTCAGTGAGAGGTCCAGGCATCTCGGAGGTCCAGTTCATGTGCAGGAGACACACGTGAGCAAATGAACAACCTAAAGCTTCTCTCTGTTGCAACACAGGGCTCCAGCTAGTCAGTGTGTCTGGTCCTCTGTCTCCAATAACAAAGTTTTATTGCAGCCAACTTATAATAAGCCATGAAGCCTATGGTTCATTTCCAAAGGCTGTGTTCAAGAGTCCAGGCCATCAGCCTTTCCTCCAGGTTGTCCCCAGGACTCCAGTGGATATGGGTTCATCTGTCTTCTTTGTCCTGAAGATGCACCAGTGGAGATGCTGTTGAGCACAGAGGTGGCCAGAAGGCTAGCTGAGGAGAGCAGACAGAGCCAAGCGGGGGTAACAAGTAGTGTTCACGAGAAGAGGGAAGGGCAGCCCCATTTGATCACACCCTCACACCAAGATCCTGCCTGCCGCACCAGACTGGTGGAAACAAGCGACTGCCAGCTGTCCATTCGCTGTACCTGTGGGATGTGGGGTGCAGGTGAGAGGCATAGGAACAACTCTTCACCACCCCAAACAAGGGACCTGGACCCTCCAAGGGACAATGCCCCTGGAGTATTTGTGTGATACGTGTCATTGACACCTGGATATTTTTTGCCAGGACTACATACACGTCCTCAAATAAGTGAACTTACTCATCTGGCAGGAAAAAGCTGTGCCCAGAAGCGGCGGCCGAGGAAAAGAAGAAAGAGACTGGTGCACTTTGCAGTTTATCGAGGTGGGTGCATCATCACCACATTCATTACAAAACTGTAAAAGAGCATGGAAATGTGCTCATACGATGCACTCACACAAGAGGACACAGAACAGCTAAACAACCACATGCCAACAGGACAGAAAACAAGTTTTATTTTTTTGTGAGGAAGATTAGCCCTGAGCTAACATCTGTTGCCAATCCTCCTCTTTTTTTTCCCCCAAAGCCCCAGTAGATAGTTGTATGTCATAGTTGCACATCCTTCTAGTTGCTGTATGTGGGACGCGGCCTCAGCATGGCCGGACAAGCAGTGCATCAGTGCACCCCCGGGATCCAAACCCCGGGCTGCCAGAAGAGGAGCACACGCACTTAACCACTACACCACCAGGCTGGCCCCAAAAACAAGTTCTTTTCATGCCAGTTGCTGTCCTTGGAGTGGAGTGGGCCCATGAGAGTGTAGATGAGACATTAGAAATAATCGTGATAAAGAAGGAATCAAAATTCTTCTCTCCTGTTCAAATGGTAGAAAGGTTTTAATCAGCTGCCTAATAGCCAGCATCTTTCTGATGTCCCAAGGCTTGTGAATAATGAGTAACGTTATTATACTAACAGTCATTAAAATATTAAGAACCATAAAATTACTAGTTAATACTGGTGATAGTGATGATTATTGAGTGCTTACATAGGCCAGGCCCTGTTCTAGGTGCATCAACTCGTTTAACCCTCAGGAACCCTGTGGTCAATTCCCACCTCCACCTCCTGCTCTGGCAGCACAGGTGACAGAGGGTCACTCCTTCCTCCTTCACGAGCACTTTCTTCCCCTGGCTTCTGGGACAGTGCGCTCTCAGCCACCCCTTCTAAGTCGCCTTGATTGGCTCCTCCACTTCCTAATTCTCTACACTGGGGGGCTCCTCCTTCTCATCACTTCCAAGATGCAGACTGAACTTGTGACTTCTCTCTAAACCTGCCCCTCTCCAGTATTCCAGAATTCCCCAGCTCACCCAACAGCACCCATCCTTCCAGATGCCAGGCCAAGGTGTCATCTTGTAGGTGGTCATCCTTGACCTTCATCTCCCTCTGTCTCTGTCTGTCTCTGTCTCTGTCTCACACACACCCCCACCCCACACACACTTCCCAGCAGCAAATCCAGCTGGCTCCACGTTACTCTTACCACCTCTCCCAGCTCCACTGTTAGTACCTGGTTCAAGCCACCTTCATGTCTCACTGAGATGCTTGGTCATCCTTGGGCTGTTGCTGAGAGACATCTCCTGCTTCTGCCCTTGCCCTCCCCGCAACTTGCCATAAATCTATCTCCAACACAGCAGCCAGAGCGATTCTGCTAAAACATTTCAGAGTGTGTCCCTCATCTGCTCAACACTGAGCCCCCAGTGAGTTTCCGTCTCCCTCAGAGTAACATTCAATGTCCCCACTGTGCCAGCAAGGGCCTCGCCCCCTGACCTGGCCCTGCTTCTATGACCTCATCCCCTATATTTCTCCCCTCTGACCTCAGTCTGGCCACACGGGCCTCTTTCCTGCTCCCAGGATGCTCCCCCTCACGGCTTGGCCCTTCTTGCCCTGGGCCTCTGTTTACCTGGACATCCGTGTGGCTCACATGTCACTTCTTCAGAGAGACCTTCCCTGACAATCCATCAAAAATTGGACCCCACTCTCATCTATCTCTGTCCTCCTTAACCTGTTTTATTAGTGTTCACAGCATTTATCACTACTGACATATCATTATTTATTTATTTTTTATTATCTCTGCTCTCCCCCCTCCTCAGAACATGAGCTCCTTGAGAGGCTGATTTGTTCACAGGGCCCAGACTTGTTCACTTCTCTGGCCTCAGTGTCAAGAGGTGCCTTACGCATCCCAGTGCTCGGTAGATATTTGTTGAATGACTCCAGAGCAGCCCCAGGAGAAAGTGGAGCCTCAGGAGCAGGGTGGTGGGAGCGCTCTGCCCCAGGTGCAGAAAATAAGCAGATGCGTTGTCAGGAGAGAATGTTAGAGCAGAAATAACACCAGCCAGAGGTTCGTCTCCTTTTATTATTACCATGAGCCAGTCATTCTGAACAGCTTCAGTGATAAAATACTCCTCCCCAAACATTGGCCTATGTTCGAAATAATTGCTGTAGTTACCACTGAGTTTTAATCATATACATGCAAGCCTCCAATTACCACATTTTCATTACTTCCCCTTTAATAAACATTGCATTCCACATGGAAGGTAATTTGGAGAATTCCCAGTATTAGAGTCAGCCTCCAACACAGGAAAACTCAGCGATGTCCGTTCACCTCGAGGGTAAGTTCATAACCACTGCGAATCCTTCACGCTTGGGGCTTTGGGGTCAGTCTGTGTCTCCAGCTCCTGGGGTCCTAATACGCCTGCATGTAGCCAGAAGATTAGAAAGAAACAAGGATAGCACAGTGATTGTGAAGACTGAGATACAGAACTTGAGTCCCTTCAATTCCATATGACCACAGGGAGTTTTTATTTGTGACTAAAATTTAGAACAGTGAAACTGAGTGCCTAGTTCAAGGCATAGTAGTTTTGTTTGACAAGTGAAAATTTTAGTTCATACATGAAATATTTCACCAAATTTGAATAATATTCTTTTTAAATTGTTAATTATTCTAAAAACTAAAGAAAAAATCAAAGAATGAATTATTATTATTGATTACTACATGGTCAATACTAAAAATTATTTTGTCATATAGAAGAGAGTGTTGAAACAGTCTTCTCTGGGTGTTAAATAGGCACAGCACTACTGAGAAGTAGCTACAATCATCATTATCAACATTTTACAGGTGAGGAAATTGAAGCACAAAGGGCTTAAGTAGCCTATTTATGTGGCAGAGCAAAGGTTCAAGGCCAGGCAGTCTGTAGGGATCAACTTTCCCTGAAATTCATGAATTTTCATTTGCACCTGCAATTTATTGAAACCTGGGATATTCATATTTCATTTATATTTTTAGCTTGTTGTGCCAACTCACACGTGCTTAAGTTAACTGAAGGAAAATAAATTCTTAAATCTATGGCTCAGTGATTCAACTCTTAGTATGTACTCAAGAGAATGTGTGTCTATACCCAACAGAAGACGTATGTAAGAGTATTCATAGCAGCTTTATCAATAAGAGAATGGATACATTGGGGTAAATTCATATAATGAAATACTACATGGCAATAAAAATGAGTCAGCTGTGAATACACACAACGACACAGAGGAATCTCACAGACATAATGTTGAGGAAAAGATGTCAGACATAAAAGTGTATATGTGGTGTGATTCCATTTATATGACATTAAAAACAGAAAAAAACTGATGGAGATAGAGGTAAGAACAGTGGTTCCTGTGGGGATGATTGACTGGGAGGGGGAACAAGGGAAACTTCTGGGATGGTAGGAGGGTTCTGAATCTTGATCTGGGTTCTGGTTATACAGGTATATACATATGCTATGGACTGAATTGCCTCCCTCAAACTTCATATGTTGAAGCCCAAACCCCCAAGTGACTCTATTGGAGATAGGGTGTTTACGGAGGTAATTAAGGTTAAGTGAGGTCAGAAGGGTGGGGTGGTGATCTAATAGGATCAGTGTCCCTATAAGAAGAGACACCAAAGGGATCATCCTCTCTCTCTCTCCACCATGCAAGGACACAGCGAGAAGGTGACCATCTGCAACCCAGAGAGAGAGGTCTCACCAGGCCCCAACCCTGCTCGCATCCTGATTTTGGACTTTCGGTCTCTAGAACTGTGAGAAAATATATGTTTGTTGTTTAAGCCACTCAGTCTATGGTATTTTGTTATGGCAGCTCAAGCCGACTATACGGAATACAACACGTAAACTTTTATAGAGCTGTACACTCTTAAATGAACTTTAGGCACATTATGTATGCTATATCCCAATAGAAATGTAAAGAATAAAATAAAAGAATCCCTCTGGGCATCTCCAAGGAGAAATCCTGAACCGAGTGAACAGCTGACATTTCTGGTCCTCTCCTACATCTGGACTTTGTGTACCGATAAGCAACTCCCATGCAATATGGCTCCCAGCCAGCTTGGACCTCTTTCCAACCTCCTAGAAGGACACTGGCCTGAGGAGGTGCCCGCGTAGGCAGGGAATCCCATTGCCAGGAGTCAGCCAGTTGTTCCTTTTACCTCAGACAATGGAAGATGGAGGAAGTGGCTATGCTTGAAGGGTGGGGCAGAGCAGGGCAGGAGATAGCCTCTACACCCTGCCCAGACCAGTTGTCATGCCAAACGGTTAGTGATGCCACCTTCAATTCCCACATTGCATGAAGATGAGCATTGCCTGAAGAGGCAGCATTTGTCAACAGCTGACGGGAAGAGCCACCTCAGGGGTAGGCCAGTGCTGTGAAGTGCCACACAACGCTGAAGGCAGAGATGTTCACAGACACCAAGACCTGTCCACATGCCTCTGAGCTGGGCAAATATGAGAGCAGAAAATAGGTGTAGTGCGATGTAGAGTTAACACAAAGAACAAAACGATTAAAACAGGACATCCACAGCACGTCTTATCACTTCAGAGAATCGCAACTCATCTTTCCTGTTTTGCTCTCTCCAAAATCTTGCTATATTTCATTTTTCTTGACCCAACTTGACCACATGGCACCACTTTCTACTTGAAACTTCTTTCCAGGAGAACTTCTTTAGCAATTATAGTAAAATTTTATATCTACATTTTCCACATGTACTCTCACTTCTAAAAATATGAAATGATTTCCAACCAGGAAATACATTTCTGACTGCAGACATAAACTTAGATTTTGCTAAAATATTCCCATATTTGAGTGTATTCTGCACTAAGGAAATCTGAAGAAAAAATTTACTTATTCATTTAGAAAATATTTATTAAGTGTTTATAATATAGAAAGCTCTGTATCCAGAGCTGCAAAAGGCATCTGTGGAGAGTGATCATTTATTTAAAGATTCATTGCTGCATTTCTTTGTGCATTTGGGAATTTACTGACTATTAGCTAACTGATTAAAACATAGGGGGATAAAGATGGAAAAAATAATACTAGATTGGTATCAAACTATGATGAAAGCATTACTGATCATGTAAGCCAATGAGAAAATGAGATGTTACTTCCAAACTTTTGATTTATACATTTTCTCAGAATATATTTTTGTGAAAAGTGAGGTATAACTATTACATAAAACTAAGCCATTCCTTCCTATCAAATGAAAAGTCCTGATACTCTTATATTAAAAGGAAAAGAGTTTCACTTTATTAGTAATTACTGAAGTCAGTTACACTGTTTCCTATTAGTTATCATTAGGAGATAACAGGGTGAAACTATGAAAATCACTTAAATTAAATTAAAATACCAAGCTTAAAGAATTATGTTTTCTCTGCTGTCCCGACAACCAAGGCAGAGCGCCTGTAACACACCTCCAGTTGATGCTGTGAAGGTCAGAGGCTGGGCGAACAAGGAGGAATACTCTATTTTGTCATTTCCCTAAATTTGTTCCTAATGGTGTTAGTGAACAAAAGGAGAGGATGTGCCTAGGGTCGAATAGGTTTGGTTAAACCAAATTCAAGAGGTTGTTTTGGTGCAGGACTTCCCAAAACCTTTTCACGTTAAGTCTAAGTCTCAGATGGGAATGCTCTGTGTTACAGTATTGCCCGAGCTAACTGGGCCCCCTCATTCTTCACAGAGCTCCTGGGGGGACTAGCAGTCTATTAGAGCACACTTTGAGGAACCATTTTCTGTCTGAAAATGTCTGGAGAGACAAGTAGCCGTAAAATGAACACCCATCCACCTTGGGCTAGCTCTGCTGTGCAAGGCCACCATATTCCGTGTCATTACAGGAAAGAGTGTGAAAGGCTGCCTCGTCTGGGACAGCCTGGTTTCTAACTCTCAGGCATAAGCTGGGGTATGTCCAGCTGTGTTTTTCTCGACCTAACCCTGACCTCTGTCTTCTGAGTCTCGCATCTGCGACCTGGGTGTCTCCGCCTGGGTTATAGAGACTCTCTGTGGTAGGACAAGAGACCCAGGATGTTCACCATGGTAAGAAATGGAGCAAAGAGTGGAGAGAAGAGGGAAGCAGCAGAAGAGGTGGACTGAGGGTAATAGCTGGGCAGGGATGGGGCAGCAGGGAGACGGGGAGGAGGAGCACGCGCAGATAGGCAGAGGTCAGGGGAACAAGAGATGGCCATTATACGTTAATTTCAGCTAGCGTTCTGTGGTGATAACAAACAAAGGTTAAAATCTCAATGGTTTAGCACAACAAACTTTTACTTCTCACTCACACCACAGCATGATAGGAGTCAATGGCTCTCTCGAGCAGTTTTTCTCCATGTGGTGACTCTGGATCCAGAATCCTCCATTTTATGGTGCTGCCATCTTAACCATGTGGTCTCTGTAGTCACTGAGGAGAAGCGAAAGAGATGAAATAAATTGCCCAATGTTACAAGCTGGAGGTGGTGGAGATGAGATTCATAACCATGTGGTCTAACTCCATGGCCCCATACTCTTGATCCACCTGCATTTTCCCAACATCCAGACATTGATCAGCACTTAATAAATGCTCAATAAAATCTTATTGACTGAACAGTTGATAATTGAAGATAAGTGTTTTTCAATTAAATATATTGTCTGTTATTTTCCTCAAACATTGAGGATATAATTCCAAATTAATGTAGCAAGTGACTCAAGACAGGCAGATCCATGGGAAGTTTAAACAGTCACACTAATTGTGCAGCCTCGCATGAGTAACAGGATTGTTACTACGGGATTGTTAGTTCTTTCTCTAGCTCTTTGGAGCTCATACAGGCAAGCCTTGGACCTCCATTTCTCCTGGTCCAAACACCACAAAGACCCCAACATCGTGCAGATGCTCCAGAATCTCTGCCAGTTTCCCTGGTGGCAAACTTGGGCTCATCTCACCACAGATGGAGTAACTTCAAGCAGCAAAAGAGGGAAAATAACCACTCGAGATTTTTCTGTTCATTATAGGGCAACCATGCTCAGAAGTTAATAAATGTAAAAGATTGAGAAAATTAAGAATAAGATAAAGGAATGTAGCTATTTCTCAACACCCAGAGCCGTTTAATTAGCTATTCAACCACAATTGCCCAAGAACTGAGAAACTGGTACAATCTGAAGTTCTGGCTCATATATTGAGTAGATTTCCCCCTACCATTTCCATCATCTAGGGAAAATCCAGTGGTTTCGTAATTACTCTAGACCAAGGTGGGTGGGGGTAGGAGGGAGGCAGAAAACCACCCATGGGAAAGAGCCTATTCCATTTTCTTGGGAACCCTCTGGTGCATTCTTTTGCTGGTAAAAGATGTTCATTACTGTAAAAGAAGACATTTCGCAGCTTAAAAGGCAGTGTTCCCCAGAGCATAGGCACTGTTGTAATTTGACAGAGATCTCACGCTGTCGCAATTAGCATGACTGAGTGATTTTCCAATTTGCAGAATGCCTTGGGAAGAAAGAAAAGACAAAGCCCAACCCAAAGCACACCACTCATACATAATCACAAGGAGTACTCTTCCCATCCCTGCCTCCCTCTCAGCTCTTAGATGGTGTCCAGAGCCTGGTCTCTCAGATGCCCCCAGAAATGCCTCCAGAGATGGTACAGGTTGGCAAAAGGGCCTCCTCTTCTGCCCTCTAGTGGTTGAGACAGATCAGAGCAGAAGCCCCACTGGGTACCCCACCAAGGGTTATCGGTTAGCTTTCATTGACTCACACAAGCTTTTCTGAGGCCTATGTTCATTGCTGAATCCCCAGTGCCTGGCATAGTGCCTGGGGCAGAGTATGGGATCAACAAATATTTGTTGAATTAAATTAAAAAATCAAGTATTTGATGGCCACATACAGGGTAACCAGAGAAACGTAACTAACAGTTCCTGTCTTCAAGGTGCTTACAAACGAGCCGGGGAGATGAGGATAAACATGGGGGCACCCTTCCATCATTTTCCCAAACCACAGTAGTCTGGTAGTATAGTCCAGGGCTGTGCACCTGGGTGATAGAACAGTTACTGACAGCCTTCACCAGCACACTGCTGAAACTAGTCTCTACTTCTCCCTCGTACTTCAAAGATGGCCATGTCCAGCCCCTTGGGGACAACAGCTGGCTCCCCTCTCCCACCATTCATGATGTAGCCCCCAGGTCACCAGGTGCCCAGCCCCACTGTGCTGTGCTGAAACCCCTGTCCTCCAGGCCTCGGTCACTCCAGTGGTCATCTGGGATGTCCCTACCCTGTGCCACATTCTGTGGCCAGACCACAGTCCCAGGCAGCCTTGTGTTTCAGAGCCTTACAAACCCTTAACCAAAGGGACAGTTCTCTCTCTTGACTGGGTATTTTGGTTCATTCCAATTCTCTCTTCATCTCTAAAAATATCACATGCATCCCTTTTGTTTAGACTGGAAAACTAATCTGCATTGCTACTAAAACCTACCCCTCCCCTCCAGCCCTCTAGGGCTCTGGACTAAGCTTGAGCATTTCAACACCTCTTTAGCAGGGAAATGCCCAGCCATGGGCTACAACTCCTATAGTTCTAAATGGCTTTTATTGAAAACTCTAAACGCAGGTGGTTGGGGGTCAGCTCAGTAGCTCGTGGTGCCTCCTCGATGGGTCTTTCTGCATCTTCTGGTGGTCCTACGAGGACAGCCACCATCTCAGGTAACGTGACCTCAAACAACTGTTTTCAAAGGGGAAGAGGGTGGCAGACCTCTCTGCT